TATATATATCATCGAGAACTGAAGAAAAGTGCAAGACATCATGCGAGAAGTCTATTAATCACAATTGATTCTGTGGAGCAAATGTTAATGTTAAGAACACAGTCTGCTATCCGATGCTATGGATTGAGTATAACAATTATAAAAGGAAACATAACTCCAATCAATTTAGTCCAGAATCAACACATACACGTCGTAAACATAAAACATATACATGTATATATAAATTATCCTCAGCGGAGCATTGTTAATACACCATTGAGTGGGCCAGTCATATAATGCAGAGATGTAAGCCACACTTTGCAGAGTCGGCTTGACATTTCACCTTATACACAAACATATCAACTAATACTGAGATCGGTCACAAGGATACCTCGACCAATAGAACCGATAGTCTCACGTCCTCATCTGGGATGTAATCTGACGCACATCTCTCGAGTATTTTAATGATGGAGTCGGGTTTCTTCTTGACATGTTCGTAATAGTCAAAGTACGTCTGCGGAGGTAAAAAACAAATAGTAATCTGAGTACGTAAAAGACCACAATCTAATGACAACCTGTAGCGATTCATGATATATCTATATAGGCATTACAAACGCACAGATTGACTGTACATCTGCCCTAAAATGACAAATGTCGATTGACTATCGGAAACTCACATCTGCTGTGTTGTAGGCAACTTGCAGGAGCCCATCATCCTTTTTCGCCAATTCGCATATCCGTTCGTAATCCAGTAAAGCCTGCACGTACGGAAGGTATCAAAGAAACTATATGTCACTATATGTCGGCAAATGTGCTTTGAAATTATGACGTGAACGCAGGCATTGATATAGCATTGTAAACTGTTGCACGTGTAAATGGTACATAGACTCACTACTCACTCCACTTACTCTTTTGTAGGATCCCATGTTTAGACGACAGAAAGCCAAGTCCCACATAACACTCAACTGCTCTGTCGTAGTAGGTAGATTGGCAGTATGTGCGTGTGAGTCATCGCGACCAACAATGCAGTTGCAAGCCATGAGCTCAAGTAATAAATCTGACCAATTTTAGCATCATGTCGTGCAGCTGTCTTATATCAGTGAGCAATGAAAAGGTGCGATATATAGCTGTGCTATAGTCAGTCGTACTCAGCAAGTAGATCTGCGTATGGTATACATCGCTCGCATCGTCCGACTACAGTCTGTGGTAGCGTACTGCAAGCTGGCTACTCGATGAAGACTCTTAGCCGGCCATGCGTATGCCAAGTGCTATCACACTCGGTTGATTGGCCGTAACTTACACAGGTACCCACAGTTCGATACTCGTATCAATAGAACTAGGTCCAGTCTCATTCTATTTAAATGGCGCGTGCGTGCGAGTGCGTTTGCATTGCGTACCTGGCTGCACGTCGAGCGATTTCTTGAAGCAGAAAGCTGCATACTCCTTCATTTGATACTCTCTGTTCAGCAAGAAATGAGGGGTGGTTCGTTCTCGATTTCAATACAACAAAAGAGAGACAACCGCAGAAATGGGCCCAAAATACAACAGAAGGGAACAATCAAAGAAACGAGCGCAATTTATAGTTTCCGAGCACAAGTGCCCCGAAGCGAAACTTCGTAATACTTTTAGAAACATATAATCAGCATGTCTACAAAGCATAGAAGTAGGAGAAATAGGCAAACATTGGCTGAGTCACAGAACCTACTTATATGCCTCCAGGCCTAGTTTATACCAATCATCCGCGGTTGAATCGGGGTCTAAACTCGCACTCACCAATCGGCAGTGGAAACTTTCCTCGTACTTTGAAACCAACTTCATCAATTATGTGAATCGAAATGGATTGGTATGAGACTGAGTGAATTTGCTGGTATTGTCGGGCAATGAATTATCACCGCAAAATAAGAACTTTAGAAGTGTACGAGTTTCCGTCGTATGAGCCTTGTAGAATGTCAATACCGTGATCGTGAACGTTACACCAGGTATATGTGCGCATATTATTTTATTACGCAGGAGTTATCGATGAAATTCGTGTCGTGAAGTGTTTGTGAAACGAACCATAAGTAAACATGTTGTCCAAAGGCTGTGTGTACCTATATATGTATAAATTCTTTTTCGGCAAACCGAATAGACAATAAATTAGATCTGCATGTCGCGAAATAGAGAAGTGTGTCGGAAGTCAGACAAGACGGTGTGTTTGAGATGGCCCGATATGGCAATTCGTGGCCAAGTGTGTCCTAAAATACTTACTTTACACATACTTCGTATATCTCAGACAGTAAGTTCCATGGGGCTGCAGCTCTCACATTGCCGGCCAGAACGAGCTTGCATTTTGCAGCAGCCTGAGATATATAAGTGTAGAGCAGAGAGACTCAAATCAATGATCGCCAGTTGAATAACATTTACAAACAGCTATACAAGTACGTGGATAACCGGAAAAGGACGTTGCAGACATCAATCGCACTCTGAAGCACCCGGTGGGTTGTATTGCGCACACAACCTATCTATGCGCCTATTGGGTACAAATAAAGCCTCTCTAGAATTACAGCATGCATCATGCAATTTACACACTTCGCATGCACACTCTGAGCAACAGAGCCATCACAGCACATACCTCGCCCAGATTGCTTTTCACAAAGTCTTCCTGTGCTTGCAGAAACAACTTCTGCAGCTCTGGCGTAAGTTTATTCACGATCGCCCCGGTCCCTTTCTTCCCGCTACCTTTCTTACTCCCTCGTTTCTTCCTCCGCCTTCTGGGATTGAACACATCTAACGTATCCAGCATAGCATCCAGTTCAGCGTTTGCACGAGCTCTACTAGCATCCACCGCTTCTGACACAGACAGAGATGTGCCAGACGGTGTCCTTTTATCTGTGGATATACCCGATTATTCAAAAGATGTACGTGAGTGGCTTTCAGATAA